CCCTGCTCTAATTCTGTCCCCCAAAGTCTTTAGATAGCCCCAGAAAAATACAATCAATCTCGTTCCCACTTCAATTCTCATACTAGGGGGGGGGGGGGGGGGGGGAGGCAGAAAGAATTTTTCAACTAATGCTTCTCTTTTTTTGTACCAAGTTCTCTTTTTGTATATTTATTTTTTTAACCCAGGGGGAGCACTGAGGGTTTAGGTGCAATTAGGGTTGGGAAGAGTAAAACACCAAAAGGTTCAAGAGACCCAGAAAGGCTAGATGAAGAAGAGGTGAGAGAAACACACACATCGGGAGAGTGACTGAGAGGGAGTGTGGGGGGTGGAAGGGAGCTCACAGAAGACCCACTTTCAAAGTCACTTGTGAGCCTTCTCAACTTTTTCAAAAGAGTACTTGAAAAGGAGTCTCTCCTTCAAGGAGAAGCCAGGCTCTGCCACAGCAGGTCCCCTAGTAGGGGAACCTCAGGAAAGGCTTTACAATCCTGTGAAGACCAGAGAAAATGTCCTGGAGACTCCCTAGTAAACTTTCAGTAGGAAACACACAGGTCTCAATAGCAACATCAAAGTGGAGGAGAATTCCTCAAGGATCAGGATGAAGTCTTTGAACCAAGAGAACAGGCTTGCCTCTCTGGGGCATTCACTGAATCAAAAAATACTTCTTTGACGCTATCTAGGTGCTGGGCATTGTGCTAGAAAGTGAAGAAGCAAAGTGAGATGTAGTCCCTCAGAAACATACGTGTCAAAGAACTCATGGATTAGAAATCAGGACATCTCTATAACTGCTCACTGGACCTTGCTAAGCCCTCAACCAATATCTGGGTACAAAGTATTCTTTCACCAGCCTTGGTGAGGTTTTTATTTTCAGTGTTTTGTTTGATGAGAGAGAGGAGGAGGTCAGTGAGTGCACTCATGAGGGCACCTCCATAAGGACACTCAGTGATCCCTAATTCCATATGTATAGAAGAACCTGCACATCAGTTGTCAGACTCATGCCTTCCCCTGAGTTTCAGGGTTGTGGCAAGATAGGAATCTCAATCTCCTCTCTAAAGCCCTTACAGTGCAACAGCAACTAGAGACATAAAAATTGGGCTTTGAGAATACTTTTCCATGAAGAGAGAGGTCCTAAAAAGCACCTTTTTAGGATACCCTGAAAGAAATGGTATTTCTCTTTATTTAGGGAAGACTGAGAGGAATAGAGGACATTAAAGGCATTCTTTTGGACAAAGGAAGACTAGAGCTTGGGGCTATGTGAAAATAAATCCTTGCATGCCTAGATGAGGACAAAAAGATAAGACACAGGGCCATGAATGGGGAATGTGTCTAAAGGAAACAGGGACCCCTGATGCCACTTGGACCCCTGCAGGAGGATGCTGGTACTTCTACAGAGTTTGGCAAAAGGCCAATTAAACATTCATGCAGATCCAGGTGGAATTTCCATGTGAGACAGGGAGATGAGGGCACTTCTTTCTGAAATGACCAAGATCCATGAAGGTGGAAGAAATACCTGCACACTCCAGAAAAGCTGTGTAGTGGGAGAGCAGGTATCCTTACAAAACTCATGCACTTTCCTCTTGACATGTTAAAGGTGGTAGGTTCATGAGAGGAACTCGAAGACATATTGCCAATAATAAAAGAAAACTACCTTCCATGATCAATAGAAGCATGGCATTGTGGCTTGGGATGCCACCTTGAATATGGACAGTTGACACTGGATAGGGACAACTGACATTTCTTCATCCGATGTAAAGTGCTGGGCAGATGGTTTCATGGACAAGGTCCCTCCACCCTCCAGATATCACACCTAAGTGGCTGTGTATCAAAATGTATGGGCCATTACTAAAATGATGGTTAAGACTCCAATTCTCCTTTTCCATGTAAGAGGTGGTCAAGGTTAGAAATACATATTCTAAAGAGGTTTATATAAGTTTTTTTGCAAACAGCACGATATGAGTTATGATGGAAGAAACTAGGATTTCTCAGGAATGTACAAAACGAACAGATCAGTCTGGAGAGAGAAAATGCAATGACGCCATCAGTGTTGCCAATGTGGTTAGCCTCCATCAGTGATCCATTCGGGGATTATAATGGGTATGTGTGTGAGAATGGTCCATATTGAAGCATGATCCATCCACACAGAACGGGACAAATAAGACAACAGCTCCCTGCCTCTGGAGCCTTTACTAAGATGTGTCATATCTTTTTTCCCCAAAGAACCCCAAGATTGCCCCAACTTATTTAAAATAAGTACCCTTTTGGAAATATTTAGTGGGGAAAGATGAAGTTCTGACTGCTACGGGTCTCCAGTTTCAGTTCAGATCTGGCAGCAGCCCAATGACACCTCTGATCTCCAAATAATCAGTCACAGAGAAAATGGCACCCTGGTGAGTTTGAAGTGATTAGTTACTGCTTGGCGTTTCTCATCAGTTTGAATCTGGGATAGCTAATCTGGATCAGGGATCTGGAAAAGGCTGTTCATCTAAATTACTCTGATCCACAGGTAGATTCTGATTATCCTGCTCCTCTCCTCTTGATCCATCTTCTGTTTCCATAGCAGCCAAAACCCCAGTAAAATGGAAGCATCTGGCAGAGGCTCAGGTAAAGTCCCCGGGAGAAATGAGTTTGCTGGATGGCCACAAAGGGGGAAAAGGACTCTAAGGTGTGCCAGTGTGAACTTCAGCAAGATAAAAGGAAGAGGGCTCCAATGCCAGAGGAGAGACAGAAGTAATTGTGAGAAGAAAGGGTGGGAGCTGGGGACAGGAAGAAAAGGAAATGTAGAAAGAAAGAAAATTAATGCACAAATGTTTAGGATGCTGGGAGAGAAAGGGAAAGTAAAGAATACAAAAACAAAGCATGAAAGGGAAGACAAAATGAGAAGTTGTACAGAGGAGAAGAGTGAAAAAAGGAGTCAGAAAAGGACAAAGAGCTGAAGAGCCAGCAGAGAAAGAGAAGATACCAGACAGAGACAAAGAGAGACCTGCACAAGGGTAGGGCCCAGTGCCTCTTGAAGTAAGGCAAAGTGGGTCTACCTGGGATGATGAATATTCTGCAGATTCTAAAGGCACAGACTGCCTTGGCATCCAGTAGCACTGGGGACTCAGCATTAAACAGTGATGAATGGTGTGTACCACGGACGTAGAATGTCTGCCCATTTCAATGACCCCTCCTTTCGATGTGCCCTAGGGCCATGTCCTTTTGTGGATGGTCCCATGCACAGCATAAACCTCCTCCCAGATTTTGGGCCAGTCCATTGTAAGGCCACTCTAAATCGAGAGAATTGCAGACATGCGGGTACTCTCTCTGATCCCTCTGCTTGCAGTGGTAGCATCAGAAATGGTGATATGGGATAGCTCCCAGCAATTCAGGCCAAGCACACTGAAAATTGCATGACTTCTCTGAGAACCTCCATCAGGACAAATCTGTCACTATCTGCGAGAGGGAATTAGGTATTAGGGCCCATTCATAGCCCTAAACAGATTTTATTTAAAGATCCAAATGGAGTGGACACTGCGATGCTCTGCCACCTTCAGAAGAGGGGTAGGGGGATGTCTGGTGCTGCTGGTGAGCAGAACTCGGGTGCCACCACTTGTGCATACTGTCCCACTTAAAGACTCCTGGCCCCAGGCTACTATCCTTCAGGTGACAGTCCAGATTCCGTGACGGAATGCTCTGCTGGTGTAAAAGAACACCCTCTCACCTCAACATTGCTAAAAGGCAAAGCTAGCTCTAGAACTCTCCACAGTGTCTGCTGGGAATTGCACAGGTCTTCATGCAACTCGGCTTCTCCCTTGGTCCAATCCTCCTTCCTTCCCTTCCCTTTCACAGGAGTTGATCCCAAGAGCTCCTCAAATAAACTTCTTGCACACCAATCACATTCTCAGGGTCTGTTTTTGTGGCCCCAACCTGTAACACTAAGCAGATATCTACTACTATGATTCCTTTAGAATCCTTAAACTTGCAGCAACACACAGACATTTATGCATACATGCGAACACACACACACACACACACACACACACACACACACAAATACAGTTCACATTAACCAGCAATAACCACTGGAATGAAGCATCTTTATTCACATATCTGCTCAAATGTCACCTTTTCAAAGGCCTTCCCCAACCAAACCTCTGGTTCTTTAGTCAACGTAAACTACTCTATCTTCTCATCCTTTTCCATACCTGTTTTACTGTATATTCATTTTTTATCACTTATTTCCTGAGATGTAAGCTCATGAGAACAGAAACTTGTATGTTTTGTTTTATTGCTACATCCTCAGTGCTCAGAAGTGCCTGGACTATTACAAGCACTCAGTACATATTTAAAAACAGATGAAATAATTTAATGCACCTTAAAAGCTAGCTTAATGATAAATGACATCTCTCCTTAAATTCTGAAGTTTTAACATTCAATCCATGAAAGCACAAAACAACACTAGGTCTGGTCTACAAAACACCTAGACATTTAGACAAAGCAAATTTTTCAATTTAGTCACACATTGCCCTATATTTGTTATCTGGGATTAATCAGAGTGAAACAACAACAGAACCACAAAACAATTAATGGGCTAGGGACCAGATATTTGTCAACACTGAAGAAGCAGACTTGGACATTTTCCTTTCAGGACTATGGCCATTCAACACTTTCATTCATCATTATGTGTTTGTGTTTTCAGTATCTTACAACAACCACCTGAACAATGCCAACTTTGCTGATTGTTCTATCAGCAAAGTGGACCAGTGGAATTCACCCAGAACATCTTACCACCATTTCACCCAGAAACAAGTGGGATTCATTTCCCCAGAATTTGAGAGATCCTCAAATACGATTTCTGAAATTTTAAAAGATATATTCCCTGTCTTACAGAGAACACCGACATTTTCTGCAGAGGCATAAGTACATTGTTATCAGGATATCAAAAATGTAGGATCCTTTGGACCAAGTCACGAGTGCTAAAACCTCCTAGCCATGGCCAACAATTCTTCCATTTCCTCTCTTACCTTTTGGGGAGATGTGTCTCCAGGTAACCGTAGGCTCTGGTCTACCCGTTGCTATGCAGGTGAGACTGATATTGTTCCCTTCATTAATGGAGATATCTGAAGAAATCTCCACAATTTTGGGAGATACTGTGGAAACAAAACAGAGAGAAGGAAAATAAAAATCTTGTTAAAACATTCTTCTGTTATCTTATAATGATAGTTGGCAGAAAAACGCAGGGGCTGAAATATCGGGGCTATAGGAGTAAATGATGAAAAATTAGGGGAATTACCTTAAACGTGAAAGAAATATCTTACCTTGAATTTAACTTCTATTTCCTCCCATTTAAATACCGAGTCTGGGAGTCTGAATGGGAATGGATTCCACTGCAATACTGCAAGAACTGTTCTCCTAGCCTCCACCCGCTTCCTTCTCCACTCTCACCCCCACCCACCTCCGACAGACATCCACGAGTCATTCTCCACGCAGCATTCAGAATCCTCTTTATATAACTCAATTCTGATTTTATCCTATCTCTGCCTAAACACCTCCAGTTGCTCCCTATCACCTACCTGAAAATATTCAAGCTTCTCAGACCTGCACACTGGGTCATTCAGAATCAAGGAACATTCTGTGTTTCCACTGACATTCCCGGTCATCCTCCCTTTCCTTCCCCTCCTTGTTATCCCTGACCCACCACGTCCTTTCAGGCCATCACACATTCAGAATCTATATTGTTCTTTATGTCCTTCTCTCAAAACTTCTAGTCACCCTTTAAGGCCCAAATCAGATGCTATGTTGTTTCAGCTTTCCCTACCCCTACTCCTCTTTGTCCTCCACAAATTTAAGTTACTGCTGCTTCTCATCTGTGTTCCCAGAGTACATGACACATACCTGATGTGGAGTCAGAGGGCACATCATTTAGTCATAACACACTTGGTCTCTTTTCCTTCTGCACCCTAACTTAATCCCCCAAGGAGAGGAGGGATTTATCTAATTGGTAAAATTGGGAGCAGGACCCTGCTTCCTTCAGTCTTTTGTTTTAGGAACAGGCTTCTCTTAGGAACCTATATCCTGTTGTGGTCCTCCTCATACCTGCTTCACAGGAACAGCATCCTCCAGGGAGCTGTAGAGCCCACAACACAGCCAGCACTTGCCTGTGTACACTTGTTTCTTTCTGGGGATCCAAATTAGAAGCTTGTTGTTGAAGCTTGTTGTTGCTTCACATCTAAGCCTAATTCTCTGTTACCATCTTTGCCCCCAGTGAATGTGATATTCAGTTCAAGTATGACTGCTCATTTGTCTTATCTGCCAATTGGTTTATAAAGCAAGGTTGTCATTTATTGAGCTCCCAGACTCTAATTCTTGGCATTTATCCTACTATGTTTTGGTTATTTGCTTAGCATCTCTCATCCACTAACCAAGAACATTTTGACAGCCTAAGTCATGATGTACTCATATTTATAGCTGCAGCAAAAGCCTAACAAGTATTTATAGAATGGAATTATAATGGTATTCAAGGGAACCGCCTTTCCGACCTGCTACATGTGTGTAACAACATCGGGACTGGATCACATGCTTATCAGTTCAACCCACCAACACTAATTTTGGCACCTTAGTTCTTTACAAATTAAGTGGTCCCTCCATCTAGCTTACTTAGGGTTCTTTATACGAGGTCCTTCTCTTGAATAAGTCCCTCTTTGAGCCATCAGATTGTGCAATTCAAAGACACATCACCCACCCAGTATACAATGCTAGCTGTCCTGCTGGAGATCCGGGGAAACATTGACCTTATTACCTGTCCCAAAGTCAGAGGATGACCCTCATGTGGAAATCAAATTGATTGGAAATTTCTGTGATGAATTTCTTCTGCTTGGACTTCTAATTGTGTTGGAGTTTCTTCTCCATGAAAGGGGGTTTTTATGGCAATATCTTCTTCTGGGTTTTGTTCCTTCCTTCCTTCTTGCATTTTGTCTCTCACCGCTCTCCTACACTCCTGCCAACTGGGAACACTCATTAAGAAGCATGCCTTACACTTTTGGTTCCTAATCACCAGGCCCCTGCTGCTGATTTTGGTCACTTAGACTTTTCTCTCCAACTATGTAAACCTATTAGAATTGTTCAAGGTCCAACTGAGTTACCACCCCTTCCATAACATCTTCCAGATATCTCTAAATAGATGTGACCTCTCTTTCCTGGGGATCCCATAGCCTCTTCCAAGGAATTTAAAATAAACTTGTTTATATTACCCCAGTATCATCTTTCTTCTATGCTATAAAGGACCTGGATGTAACTACAGACCAAGAGCCTTACTCTTCTTTTTATTTTCTGCTGTCTTGAATAGGGTGTCTTGCATAAAGAAAACACCAATTAATCATTTTTAGATTAAATCCATACTGAGCTTCAGAGATTGAGGTAGTGTGTGTATGTGTGTGTATGTGTGTCTCTCTGTGTATGCCCATATCCCTGCACCCTCCCAACTATTTGGCAGGAGAGTCAATGTGGCGAGGGCTGGGGAGTGACCATTGGTTCTTTGATCCAGGCCCTCTAAGATATAACATTGCAAATTTACAGTTGTACCATTTTATAAAGACTAGCTTGAATCTTCCAGGACAGAAATATAATTGATGAGTTAATGATTGAACACTTGATTTGCTGACTGTCTGAAGGATCCAAATTTCTAAATGCTCTTAATCTTAAAATCACTTAAACTTGATGTATTTTATTTGCAGTCTTAACTGGAACATTAAATATCATTTCTTGCACCACCACTCCCCCGACCCATACATTTGCCTGGCCCTTGCTCCCGCCCATCGCTGGCACCCATAGAGCTATGCTTGCTTCCTGGAGGACAAGCTGCTTGCATAATGACCGTGCTGGCCTTGCAGACATTGCTTCAACTGCGCAGGTAAGTAATTTATTGATCTGTAAAGCACTCCGAGATGCTCTGCAAGGGATTATGTCACGCCAACGCCATGCAATAAAATAAAAAATGATGGACTTTGTGAACACAGGGTGATTTAGGGTTTGTAGTTGGAAGTGTGCTTAAAGTACATTTTAAGTGGAAATCAGTCTGGGTAATGAATTACTCTTGCTTTGGAAGGGCTTACTGGAGTTCATTTTCCTGGCTTCTTACATGATAGCTAATCTGCTAATCATACACTAGAGAACAATGGACAGTCCCCAAGTAGAATAGAAGGTGTTTTGGGCCAAAGCTGTCAGCACAGTAAGTATATTAAATGAGACAATCACACCTCATGCTTGGAAGAATCATCTAGAATTATCTCCCTCCACTAACAATTGGAAAGCGTCCAACTTATGAAGTAGAAGTTGAAGAAATGTTCACTGTCCTTCCAATCCTTCACAGGAGTCCAGCTCAAAGGTGGCAAATGGTTCCAGTGGAGTTTGAAAGGCAGACCATTCATGGCATCGAGCTGAGGTGGTTTGGCCAGAGTTACAATCCCAGTTATCAGAACTAAATTGGCATAGTGCCTAAGATGCTGGGGGATTTAGAGTATCATTTTCTAGGTGGCAAGTGCTAGCATACTGTCAGTATTTAAAATTAAATTGAATTGATAAGGATGTACTACGGCCTTAGCTAATTCATGTTCATAAGAAAGTTCTGGCCAACTAAGACAGAGCTATTTATATATTCATATTGTTTCCATGGATACATTCTGCATCTTACCTCTTTTCTTTATGCAGGCTGTTAGAAATATATTAGGACTGCTTTGTCTTCCTTCCTTCCTTCCTTCCTTCCTTCCCTCTTCCCTTCCTGTCCCTTCCTTTATCAATATTCATTGATCACTTCCATATACTAGCAACATGCTTAGCGCTAAGAACTCAACACTAAAAAAAGACATAGCCCTTGTCCTCAAGGAGTTTGCAGTGTAGAGATGTAAAAATAGATACCACAAGTGTATCCCCTTAGGGCACATGGGTGGCTCAGCTGGTTATGCGTCTACCTTCAGCTCAAGTCATTATCCCAGGGTCCTGGGATCGAGTCTTGCATCACTGATGGTGGTGGTGGGGGAATGTTCCTGCTCAGCAGGGACACTGTTTCTCTCTGCCTCTCACTCTGCTCATGCTTATGCTCTCTCTCTCTCTCACACAAAAGTAAATAAAAAAAAAATCTTTTAAAAAAGTATATCCCCTTAAGGCATTGTGACATAGAGGAATAGATTTGATGTTGAGGGAATACAGAGGATAGATACCTCAGCCAGCCTAGAGGCCAATGTCATAGAAGATTTTTGGATGTATGACACCCAAACTAAGCTCAAGAAAATAAATACAGATGTAGTTAAAAGAAGGACCACATGTACCCCGATGTTCATAGCAGCAATATCCACAATAGCCAAACTGTGGGAAGAGCCGAGATGCTCTTTAAATGGATAAAGAAGATGTGGTCTATATACACAATGGAATATTACTAAGCCATCAAAAAGGATGAATATCTAACTTTTGCATCAACATAGATGAAACTGGAGGAGTTTAGGCTGTGAAATAAGTCAAGCAGAGAAAGAAAGTTATATGATTTCACTTATTGGTGGAACATAAGGAATAGCATGGAGGACAGTAGGAGAAGGAAGGGAAAAATGAAGGGGAGAAATCGGGGAGGGGAACGAACCATGAGAGACTATGGGCACTGAGAAACAAACTGAGGGTTTTAGAGGGAAGATGGGAGGGGGGTTGAGTTAGCCTGGTGATGGGTATTAAAGAAGGCATGGATTGTATGGAGCACTGGGTGTTATATACAAACAATGAATCATGGAACACTGCATCAAAACCTAATGATGTACTGTATGGTGACTAACATAACATAATACAAAAAAAAAAGTCCCAAGAAATGCCTAATCAGTTAAAAAATTAAATAAAGAAAGAAAAAAAGAAGAAGCAGAAGAAAAATAAAAGTGAATCTGAAGAGGGAAGAAATTGTAGGCAAAGGAGACAATACAAGAAGAATCCTATCATGAAGAGTTTCTGTGGCCAGGCATAATTGGTGATGGGCAAATGCCTGGGCCAAAAGCCATTCAACAAACATTTAGTGAACACCTCCTGTATACACAACTGTGTTAAACATACATGAATGACATGCAGAGATATACAAATTTGGTTGGCCCTCTATGAACTTAGCTATCCATTTGGGAAA